TGGTTAGATCATTTTAATTGAGCAGTTCCGTTACTCAAAATCTAACTATCCGATGACTATACGTTTTAGCGGGTATTTCATAAAAAAAAAAGCGGTATTCAGTAACGGCGAACGTATCAATGGACTTTCAGAATGTGCTTACAAGCCAATTATAAGCGGAATTATGCAAGCGAACGCGCCAATCGACGCCAGGCAATTTGGCAAAACTTCGCGTTGAAAGAGTTGGCACGGCGTGCCTTTGGTTGGATTCCCCCAAAAATCCTTGCCGTTGCTCTTGCGGCATGAAGTCCAGGTGGAGGCAAGGAAGGCCCGCGAGGAAAGCGACTATAATAACGCGTGCGTCGCTGGGAAAAACGAGCTACCTCGCCTCGCTCATTTATTCCACCGGAATTACTCGCGGCAGAAGAGAGCAAGACGGGGACGACGAGGCAGGCGGAGAGAGATTTTTCGCTGCGCGCGAGCCCTCACTTTTACGCCTGCAGGTGGAACGGAAGATCGTGGCACGCTCTCGCTCTTGATGTTTTTCCGCGTGATACTCGCAGCCTCGTTTCTTCTATCTTTTACCCAGATAAAGAGAGAAATCCTCGAGTATACTTTATACCGGCGTCCGTAGCTTGCTTTTTCACTTTTCTTCGGAAAAGCTTCATCGTGTGTACTTACTGTGAGGATACAATGCCAGTTAATTTTCTAGAAAGGCATTTGATGTATTTCATTTGGATCGAGTAACTGTGCATTCTCTTCGAGCGATCATTAATTCGCGGTAGGTTGGCTCAACAGTCATTTATGATCATTGCGAAAATAAATATTTTCAATCTTTCAACAATACGTTCCACGAAAAATTGATCAAGTAATCTACGTCGATATACAATCCATTGCTATTTACAATAAAGGAAATTTTTCATAACAAATTTTTTTCTTTCCTATTTCTTTGATGTATCTCGAACATTATTACAAGAATATTACTCGTTGCTTTTTCGCTGTACAAGCACACATGCACGTGTCTTTGGCGTTCACATCAAATTGATTGACGCAGACCTCCTGGTTCTGCATGATGCAACAAAAAGATCGATTACATTCTAACGACTTTTTTTTACTCAAACTTGACGAGAAGCCTGTATTTCACACTTATTTTATCGAAGTCTTTTCAACCTTTCCGCGATGTATGTCCGTATTCAAGTGATGCGTAAGTTACGAATAACTAAAAATAAAAAATTTCCTTGGGACAAGTTTTCTCGATAAAAATCTCGGAACGATTTGACTTCGGTCATCCATCACCAAGCGTAATCGTTTCAAACTAAAACCATCTTTATGAGCAATTGGCGAGCAATAAACTTTGCACGGGATATGGCTCGAGGCCGATACATATACATCGACTTACCCATAAGACGCACGCCACGAACGCACAAAAGGCATCAAGCTCTCTCTCTCTCTTTCTTTCTCGCCACATCGCGTTTCGATAATTAATTCAAGTCGATGCTGATTGCTCGTTACAATTCTGATACGCATAATTTTCCATTCACGTGCAAGTCCCATATTTATATAACCGTACGCAGATAATTATTCAAGGTCCGGGAGAGAACAATGATTCTTTGTTTTCCTTCTAGTACGTATCGGGGCAGTGACACCTCCTATGTTTATTGCTCATTAGCGTTGACGAGCTCGCGTGTTCGTTTGTCAGACTACATTTATAACACCAACCTTGATCTACTTGATCGTTATTTCTCGTGAGCCTCTATTTCGCGACACAAATTTGCATCGATGTTTAAAAACAATTTCAAGCAACTGTCTCGAGAATGAATAGTGTATCTTAATTAGAGGCGAGAAAATTAGAAGGACAACCGAGAAGAAAAAAAATTATCCGAAGCCCAATTTATTAGAGCAAAAAGGGTTAAGAGCTCTGGAGTCTTCCCTTTTAGTCCGTTGGTTGGCACCCTTTTCTTTCGGCGTCGTGTCGGCTACCCCATTATCAGGTCTCTATACGTACGGTGTTAGAGGCGCGGGTGGGCGACAAATTAAAGGCTCGCCATACTTGCCCCCCTCCAGCTAGAATTGGACTTAATAAAGGCCAATAGCGCAAACCTCAGATAGCTCTCCTGCGAGTTTCCATAGAGCTTTTGTTATGCGCGCGAATGGGCGAGGGGGTGGTGGTGGGGTTCCACTCGTGATCGTCGTTCTGACTAATTTCAGTTGGCGAACGCTTTCTTACGTACCTCGCGGTCCACTCGGGGTTTTCGTTTGTTCAAGTTAATTATCCAGTGCCGGCAACGTGTCGACTGTGTCAATGAAAATCAGTTTTTGTATCTTGGAGAAAAATAATAAACGGCGCTACGGAGACCGCGGCACGAGCTTGAAAATGTTCATTCAAGGAATTGAAATGTTGGAAGTGTCAAAACACGCAAGACGCGCATAAATTACGCGTTAATCGTCAGTGTGCACGAGTTGATGTATAATATCGCAGCCGTCCACTCGAGTTTCAACACTTTCAGCCCCTTCGGATCCGCGATAAATCCTCGCGGCGCGCGGGCAAGGGGCTCGCAAGCGCGCGCGCGATATAATCCTCGGCTAATACCCAAGCACCGCCTCGTAATATACGAATGAACATACAGGCATTGTGTTTGCGAGTCGACTTTAGGCGCGTATAATGTTTGAGGATCAAAATCGTGTACCAATATTGACACTCTATGGAAAACGTATATAGACGACCACGGCACGCCTGATTGCCTTCCATGAGTTTGTTTTCATTTAAACGAATGTCACTGCGAGTTTTTAACTACGAATTTCTATTACTCCGTTGGTTATAATGTCGCAGAAAAAAAATAACTTTTCAAATCGAACGATCCATCTTGGCATACGATTATTCAATTAAACAGCATTAGTTCCAGCAAATTGAAGTCACTGGCGATCTAAATTTAGAAACAAATGGCTCGCTGTATTAACATCAATGAACAATAATATGTATCGACGAAAACACACTTTTCTATTGACACTCGACAACGCTCCAAGTATGTACACACGAGCTCAGCTCTTGAAACACAGCAAAACGATGATAACGGGGATTACAAATCTTTAAAAGGCGCGCGATGCAGTTATGAATTACATACAGCGAATAGAGTTGCAAGTTTCAATTAAAGATTCCAATTGGGTTTTGCGTTTGATCAGCCTTCAATGCCGTTGCGTGGGAGAAATGAAAAATTCGAATAGTAACGATGGCGAAAGGATGAGTCAACGAAAAGAAATTCAGCTGCCGTTCGAGTGCTGCGCGTGTACGTCTATTAGCGCGACGTAACAAATGTCCGAGGTTCATCGTCTTTCCCTCACTTTCACGATAGATCAGTCATTGGCTGAGGGGCAGTACGAAAAATGTAACAGTTTTCCGCGCTCGCGCCGCTGGCGCGTTGATCGTTAGAGTGAGAGAGAGAGAGAGAGCGGGCGAGGAGTCAATCGAGCGTGAAGCTTTTGTCGATGTATATGTATACGGCGATGACACCGCTGCGCTGCACGCGCGTACGCGATAAATTTCTCCCAAAATACCCTCGGATCTGCGCGCGATGCGGTCTTGTACGCGCGCGTGTAAGCGCGACGCTGGCTGCCCGGCGCTGGGCGGCATTTTTCCAGTTTCAAGGGTGTCGGGGACTCGCCGCGCGATAAATTTCCGTGGCCCACGGCGTCGAATTAGCGCCCCGACAAATGGCTTGTAAACATGGCGGTCTGCGCTGCTACCGCTCGCTGCGCTCTGCCATCGCTGATGTATTCATAATTTATTCATCTGTTTGGTCGGGCTACACACGGCTCGTGCGCGCGCGCGCGCGCTGCGAACATACGGTGCACCATTGCGTATATGCTTTATAAATGATCGCGCTATTGTTGCGCTCTCCTACGGCCGTGCACCGATATAAATCAAACATCGAAGCTTTCGGTTGTTTGCTTAGCGGGGTGCCAAAGTGCTGCGATAATAGTAAGCTCGCTCGGACTTTCGACTTTCGCTCGGATCTTCTAATAAATAAATTCACGAACGACAGAAGTAAACAAAACAGACGGATAATTGCTTCTCGCTGATTCTCCTCAATTTCGTTGACTCTCCGGAGGGAGCGACTAAAAAGAATGTGAGCATGGAAAAGTTGATTAATCGCCCGTAGCGAATGTGTATAAGCAGACAATCCACTTTGTAATAATGCGTGTCTATTCAAACCGATCGCCGAGTAAAGTGCAGATGTCCAGCGGCGAGTCAGAGAATAAAGATCGAGGAAAAAAGATCGAAGAGCGCGCGCGTGAATATAAAGAAGAGAGAAAAGAAGCGACCCTCTCTTTCTCTCTCTCTCTCTCTCTCTCTCTCTCTCTCTCTCTCTCTCTCTCTCTCTCTCTCTCTCTCTCTCTATGTCTCGTTTAGAGCGGTACAATGGAAGTGTTAGCGCGACAATGATGTCCGTCCTTTCTCGATCGCTACGCATGAAATACGGAATGGAGTGAACTTAATGGTGATGTGACTTTCTAGCGAACGATGAACATTCAAAAACCGTAAAGGGATGTGGAAATTCGACTTGGCGACTAGTTAAAACGAAAATTGCTCGGGATATCGAGAAGAATATCGGCGCGCGCGAGTCGTTCGTTTGTCGAAAAGTGACGATTCTAACTTTGAGTCACCAACTTTTATCCGACTATATGTATTCCGCTGCTCCCCCCGGTAGATCTTAAAAAGAGAAAAGTCTAGCCACGCTTCTTCTGGCCTCGGCCGTCCCTCTCGTTTTTCTCTCACGCGCGTAAGAAAAGAGACAAGGACGTGCGCGCGCGCGCGCGCTCGCGGGAGGACAGAAAAAAAAATGTATTCGTGATTTATCGGTTCGATTCCTGGGAATCATTCGGTGAAAATGTCGCTCGATCATAAGACAAACCAAAAAGAACAGTTGAAAAAGATAAATAAATAAAAGCGCATCCAGAGCTCGTTAACAAACATGCGCATCGCAGATGAGCCGCAAGTAAGTGTGGACGATAATGTGAAGAAGAGTACGACGTGATTTCAGGTCACAGCGGTGTCAACCAGCTGGGAGGGGTGTTCGTAGGAGGTCGTCCACTACCGGACTCGACCCGACAGAAGATCGTCGAGCTGGCGCACTCGGGTGCACGGCCGTGCGACATCTCGCGCATCCTGCAGGTCAGCAATGGATGCGTCTCCAAGATCCTCGGCAGGTTGGTTGAAGTACATACTGCATGCGTTCTCGTATAAAACAGTTGTGGAGAATCGATGTGTTTGCCCCGTTTACCGGCGCCCCGGTACATATCCGTTCGCTCGTCTTGTTCGCCCTCGGCGCTTGGATATATATGTATGTGTAGCCTTTTTGCCCATTTCCGACGTCGCGAGCTTAGCTTGGAATGCGCGCGCTCGCCGGATTGTGGGCAGTAGAATAAAGGACGCAGCCTCGCGTCCAGATACAATTGTTAGCGATAACTCGTTGGTAGTTGGTGTCTTAGCGATGCGGGTAGTGCGCGAGGCGCACCTGCGGATGCTATGCTAACGGGGCATCTGGCGAATGATTATGGCAAAATATTATTGTTGCAGGTACTATGAGACGGGCTCGATAAGGCCGCGGGCCATCGGCGGCAGCAAGCCCCGAGTGGCCACAGCCGAGGTCGTCAACAAGATATCCCTCTACAAGAGCGAATGCCCGTCGATCTTCGCCTGGGAGATCAGGGATCGGCTGCTGCAAGAGGGCGTCTGCACCAACGATAACATTCCCAGCGTGAGTACACGGCCGGCGCCGGTTTATTTGCGTCTAGCGTGCGCGCGTGCAGTCGTAATTTCACGAAACCGATTCGTTTTGACAGCGCTACATTGCATTCCACGCCGGTATTACTCGTGTACAACCTACCTACCCCTCCACGGCAATTGACTCGCAAACTAATTAACACTCTCGCTCGACGCCCCTCGCTCTCGCCCGTATAAATCTCGTCGTCGCTACGGTGAATAGCCAGTCGGTGCGCGCGTGTCCTCCCACCGCGGCTTGGCGCGCCAACGCATATATATGTATGTATATATATATATATGTATATATGTATACGTGTACGCGCGTCCTCTTTCTCTCTCTGGCTTTTTGTACGGAGCCCCCTTCGTGCCCGCAGTATACTGTACTCGCGCGCTCGATGCGCCCCATTGTCCCGCGCTCGCGCGCGTCGCCGTTCACTACGGCCCGATACATCATCTCTCCAGCGCCCGCGAAAGCACGACTCTAACTCGCCAAATCGCATCAAGTACTTTCATTCTCCTCTTTTACTCCCGCTTTATCTCGTGGGATAAGTCGCTCGAAGGTACTAATTCTTACGAGGTATCGCCTGTATTTTCGTTCGTTATTTACGTAAATAACTCAAACTTTCCGAATAAGCCATGAACTACGAGCTAAACGACAAACCGAAGCGTACGATTTATGATCTGGAAAATCGCATAAAGAAGAAAAATAGAGCTACATCAAGAATGTCAAATCTCGCTCCGTCTAAAGCGTAAAAATGTTCTCTAAATTTGATCGTATAAAAAGAAATCATGGAATCTTTCATCTTGCACGCCCCGCAAAATCGCTCTTTAATCTCTCTCCCCCTAGCCGTTCCGAAAAAGTTAAGACACTACGGGACTGCTGGCGAAGAAGAAGAAAAAAAGCGTCGGGTTGCCATGGTTATTTGCATGCGTCCAATAAACGCTCTGCTACTGCCGCGAGAAGAAAAAAAAGGAGAAAGAGAGGGTAGCTTCGCCGTTGGGGGAGGGTCACGCGCTAAACTCCTGTCTCTCCTTATATTATGCGTTTCCACCCCTCGAGCTCGAGCGAGATTCTTTCGCCTCCTCGGCACCTCTAATGGATTCGAAGTGTGCAAACTCTCCGAGATTTTATTCTTGCCGGCGCGCCGCAACGCGGAGAGCAGTAGCTACGAGTAATTGACTTTTGAGCGTTCGAATTTCGCGATACAAAGTGAGTTTTCTCTCCCTCCCGCTCCCTCCGCCGCGTGCCGGCATATTCGGACTTTCGCCATCTTCTCATCTCCTAAGCACACTTGTTTTCCGTTACGCCCTACGTAACTTGGCGAACCGGGCACCGGTGCAACTTTCGTGCCAGCGAGAATGAAAATTCTCGCAACAGCAGGTATAAAACGCGATCGGGAAACGAATATTCTTAAGAACTCAAGCGCTGCTCATGCACGCGGAGGAAAAACCAATTAGCAATGAGTAATTCCCTTTGTCAAGCCGGGGATCACTTTGAATCTTCGAAAAAAGAATAAGCAAATCTCCCAAGGTATTCGCAGCGAGTGAGCGAGCAGCTGGGAATTCCGCTTTTTAACAAATTACCAGTGAGAGCAAAGCTTGTGCAAAGGCGCCCAAGGAGGATCAAAGCTTTCGCTGGTAATCGAGCCTCTGGCTAAGTTCTCTCTCTCTCTCTCTCTTGCCAGAGAAAGTAAGGGGGCTTCTGAACTTGTTGTGGCTAAGATTAACGTTTCTTTAATGGCCCGTGTAATATTCCATTACGCGCGCTGGCGGCACGCCCACCGCCGTCGACTCTCAAATTATTTTCTCGCCTGGCGCGCTGCGCCGCCACTTCTCTCCTTTGCCCGCTCCTATGCGATAATCTTTAATCTGACCGGCCGCGCACATTTCTACATGCTTTTGTTGTGGCTTTTTCAAATTTCCATACGATTAAACTGCCTGTCAATTATGTTCCCCATCGCCGCGGCGCAGCCGTTTGGGCATGCGACATCGCCATCGGATCATTGACGAAATACCCAAAAAAGATAAAGTTTAAAATCAGAAAGCAATTTGTACCAGGGAAAAAAAACAAAGAAACAAACAAAAGGTAAAGCTTGCGCGTGGCAAGAGTAAAGAAAGACCAGCAGCCGGTCTGTCTCCGCGCGCCGGTGGTGATTGGAGGAAATTTCATTATTCTCAAACATTACCCGCTTCATTGTAATGTCGTCAAATTCAATTCCCATCGCAGCAGCAGCGGCAGTAGCAGTGCTCGCCTGCTTTCCGCAGAACGAATCACCCTTTCCCTTCGCTCCCCGTAGACCTCGGTCGCCGCCGCCGTTTTCCATCGGAATTTCATCGATCCGGCTGCTTTTCTATGTGCAAACGCCGTAATGTCCCGAGACAGAAAATTCCTTTCCTTTTCGCGGAGCGAGAGAACCCAGAGACAGATATTTTAAAATAACCTTCATTTTCGAAAGTAAACTCCGTCGATAAAAATTAGTCCTCCGTAATAAACCTCGGACATAACGCTAAACGCCAGAAGAAGGTATACAGCGAGGGTAAAGGAGTACGAGGCTATCGTCGATAAAATGATTTTCCATTTGTATTCTCGCGTCTAATGGCGTGTCAAATCCGAGAGCGGGAGAGTTACTTCGGCCGTGCGGTGTTGGCTTTTGGAATGCGCGCACGCGCCACCAGCGTACCCGGTGGATTTAAATCGGGCGGCCGGCGGCGGACGCGTTATTGGTTTATTCGCGCCACTGCACCCTCCCTTCCCTCGCCACTGGCTCGTTACGCATCGCGCTTTTGTTCTCGCGTGCTCGCCGTCTGTTTCGCCGATCTTAATTTTTTTGCCTTTGGTTTTTCATTACTCTCGGAAGGAGCTCGTGGTTCTTTCAAAACTGGTTTAGCGTCATTAAATTATTTCGCTGCCTGTCTTCACGATGCGGCGCGGTCAAGCATAATATGTACCTGTGATAAGGGCCAGCAGAGCTTTTAACCTGATAAGTCCATCCAATCGCTTTCAAAAACAGAAGTTGCTCGCCGCGCGCGCAATTTATATAAATTCGCCACTCTCGCGCAAAGGGTCCCAACGTCTTGTGTTCATACGATATAGGTATAAAGCGTAGGTACAACACCGCAACAATGTCGGCCAGTGACTGCAGCAGCAGCGGCGTACCAGTATAACGTAATGGATGGCCTCGAGAATCCGAGCCGAGTGAATTGTTGGCGCGGCCGTTCCTCCGGAAAACGGAGGCGACTGCGTAAATCAATGCTACTTTTTCCTCCGCTCGTCCGTGGCTTCTTCTAGTTATTTTTTTTTCTTTTTCTTTATTTTGTTTTATTCTTTAACTCACGCTGTGTCCGTACACCACCGCGCAAGGTTGCTTCCATTTTCGATGAGCTTTTTCCGAAATTCGTGCTCGCATTCAATTTGATACATGCACACATATACGCGAGCAAGTCAACTTCTTATACGAGAAGTGCGGGGGACCAAGAGAGGAGTGAGTTAGGGGGTGTCGGAGACGTCCGGCGCGACTACTGCATTATGTATTTTCTCATCCCCCTCAGCTTCTCGACCAACTTCCCTCGTACGTTCATTCTACTCCCCCACACCCTGCCGTCCGCCTGATGTCCGCTTCTCTTTATCTGCCTCTTCACTTCTCGCGTCTTTTCCTTTATTTCTATTTTTTTTCAACATTCTTCGTTTTTCCAACTTCAACTTTTGAAATAGCTGCTTGTGATTTGAAACTGAAGGAAATTGTGGTATGAGAAAACTATATATGTGCTCGTCATCCGTTCTCATGCGACTGCTGTGTAAACGAAGTGTGACGATATAATAATTGAAAAAAAAGAAGGTCGAACGTTATTGTAATTTAAGTAAATTAAAACACATTAATTACAAAGATAAAAAATCTTCCATCAAAAGCTGCTATTTTGTACCATCGAAAAACAAAATTGTTATTTCAATGACTATGGAAAATCTTATCGAGTCAAAGTTACATCAGCTGGTAGCATACGTAAATTGCAGCGTGTCATTATTTCCTTGATTGCGCGATATCATTGATTATTCCAACAAACGATAAATTCTAAAACCGGTATAATCCTGGCCTCAGTAATATAAATTTCAAAAGTCACTTGCATTATTTTGTAAAGTAAATGTCGAATTGCGCAAGATTGTCCACACAAGCTCTCGAGAAGAAAACAGAGATGATTTCGAAAGAGACGTATTGTCAAGTGTCAGTAAAAGTCAGTGCCGCTATCTCGAGCATACCAAGAATTGTCCCCTCATTATGTGGAGGCGCGTTTATCCGCGATTCTTGGAAAAGCCGCAGAGAAAGAATCGGTCCACTATTCTTTCTGGCTGTCGCGACAGCTAACGTCAGCTGCGTATAAACCACGGCATATACAAGGGAATTCAACACCCATAGGTAGACTATGCTCGAGCGCAATCAAAGTAAATATATATATATATATATATATATGCTCCGGTTCAACCACCGTATCGCAGGCTGTCTCGTCCAATCAGCGCCTGTCCGCCCGAGCTTGTAAACGTGCCGCGCAGCCTCTCTCTTTTATCTCTCTGCATCAGCCGACGTTTGAGATTATGCCGCGGTTAAAGCCGATATTCACGCGCGAGGGCTGCTCGCACAGAAAAACAACTCATCGACGACATTCCGATGCGTACGTGTGCCACGCGACCGTTTAGGCGTTCTGGTACGATGCGCGGCTCGGCTAATGACCATCGTTACGACAAGACCGCTCGGCACGAGCGCTTCTCCCCTTTGAATTTCCGCAAAATTAGCATTCAAGCGTATCGTACAGACAACGACCGTTGTAATCTGCTCTTTAAAGTGATCGTAGACGAAGGAATATGAAAAGACGCGGTGCAGCGTCGGTGTAGGTGTTGCAATTACGTACCGCGATCGACGACGGGCATCGTTTTACCGGAGTACTAGCGACGCATTGTCCTCTTATTTTTATTCTTCGATCGGAGTCATGACAGCCGTGCTATCC